GTCAGAAAAGATGCTTTGTAATATTTCAATGCTTTGCATTCTGTTAAGGCTTGCTTTATGGCCTAATATGTGGTCTATTCTGGAGAATGTTCCACGTACATTGGAAAAGAAAGTCTGCTTGGCTGTTGTTGGGTGGAGTGTTGTGTATATGTCCATGAGATCAGGTTGGGTGATTGTAGCATTTAGATATTCTGTGTCTTTTTGAGCTTTTTTCTGGATGTTCTGTCCTTCACTGAAAGTGGTATGTTGAAGTCTCCTACTATTATTGCGGAGCTGTCTCTCTCTCCTTTCAGTGTTGTTAGAATTTGTTTTATGTGTTTTGGAGCTCTGTTGTTGGGTGTGTAAATATTATAGTTATGTCCTCCTGATGTATTGACCCTTTAATCATGATATAGTGTCCTTCCTTATTCTTTGTGATGGATTTTAAAGCCTGTTTTGTCAGAGATTAATATTGCCACTCCTGCTCTTTTTTGAGTGTTATTTGCTTGATATATTTTTTTTCCATCCTTTGAGTTTTAGTTTGTTTGTGTCTTTAAGTCTAAGGTTTGTCTCTTGTAGGCAGTATACAGACAGATCGTGTTTTTATCCATTCTACCACTCTCTGTCTCTTTATTGGTGTATTTAGTCCATTTACATTCAGCATAATTATTGGCAGGTATGAGTTTAGTGCTGTCATCTTGAAGTCTTTTTTTGTGTGTTGACAATTTCATTGTTCCGCTTAATTTTCTGTGCTGAGAGTTTATGTATTTTCATCTTTTTCATTGTTGTTGATTTTGTATTTGCTGAGCCTTTATATTTTTCTTGTTTTTTATTTTGATGTGTAGGATTGTTAGTTTCCTTTGTTGTTACCTTAATATTTACCTGTTTTTCTAAGTTTAAACCAGTCTTTTATTTCTTCATATCGCCTTGGCTTCCTCTCCATATGAAAAATCTATGTCTACATTTTTCAGTCCCTCTTTTTTGTTTTAATGTTGTCATCTTTTACATATTAACATCTCTGTTTCCCTATTTTCAGTATTTTAGCTTTGATCTATTTTTGTGAGCTCCCTATCTGCGTTGATATCTGGTTGCTCTCTCCTGTGTTCTAGTCTTGGATTCTTATCTGATGCTATTTTCCAACCGGAGGACTCTCTTTAGTATTTCTTGTAATTTTGGTTTGGTTTTTGCAAATTCCCTAAACTTCTGTTTTTCTGGAAATGCCCTAATTTTGCCATCATATTTGAGAGACAGTTTTGCTGGCTATATAATTCTTGGCTGGCTATTTTTTTCCTTCAATGCTTTATGTATGTCATCCCATTGCCTTCTTGCCTGCATGGTTTCTGCTGAGTAGTCCGAGCTTATTCTTATTGACTCTCCTTTGTAGATGACTGTCATGGATTGAATTATGTCCCCCTAAAAATGTGTCAGTTTGGTTGGGCCATCATTCCTGGTATTGTGTGATTTTCTTATATTTTGTAAATCCTGCCTCTATGATGTAAATGAGAGAAGATGCGTGGCAGCTGTGTTAGTAGGCAGGACTCAAATCTACAAGATTGGATTGTGTTCTGAGGCAATCTCTTGAGACATAAAAGAGAGAAGTGAGCAGAGAGACATGGGGACCTCATACCACCAAGAAAGGAGTGCCAGGAGCAAAGCACGTCCTTTGGACCTGGGATCTCTGCGCAGAGAAGCTCCTAGTCCAGGCAAACACTGATGAGAAAAAGGCCGACAGAGAGAGAATGCCTTCCCCTGGAGCTGATGCCCTGAATTTGGACTTTTAGCCTACTTTACTGTGAGGAAATAAACATCTCTTTGTTAAAGCCACCCACTTGTGGTATTTCTGCTGTAGCAGCAATAGATGACTAAGAGAATGACTTTTCGTTTATCCCTAGCCACTCTTAAACTTCTCTCTTTATCTTTGGTTTTGGCAAGTTTGATTATAATATGTCTTGGCGACTTTCTTTTGGGATCTACCTTATGTGGGGTCTGATGAGCATATTGAATAGATATCTTGTCATCTTTCACGGTATCAGGGAAGTTTTCTGCCAACAAATCTT